ATTATCCACAGATTCTGAGACTGAGAAACAGGAAAGGGAAACATGCAGAGTAACAGATCGGAGTTTGAATTAGGTCACCCTCTCTCCTCCATCTTCATTGTCACTATGGTTGGGTTGAGATCTCGTGGCACGAGATCTCATTATATTAAAATGTGACTATTTCTTGGTGAGGTGAAAAGCTGTCTCACGATATCAGCATAACGGAGTGTGAGGGTGAAAGCATACCGCTTTTAAATCATTTGTGTGGCAGCATTTGGGGTACCCGGTGGAAACAATAAAAGGCAACAGTGTCAAGAACAATATGTAAGCAACATTTCAAAATGCACCTGCATAGTTTTGCATTTTGTGACTTTCACTTGAATAAAAGACTTTTTTCAGTAATATATTTCGTCAATTAAAATTTCTTAAAAATAGTGTTAAATATCATCTAGTCTCATTCTCTTGAACCCAGTGTTGTGCATTGTCTCGTCTTGTGTGTGTAGTGTATTGTCACAACCCGAATTGTCACTCTTCAACTTGTAATAAAGCTGAAACCTGTTAAGTGTTAACAAGTCTCCCCTTCCCCTACCTATAGAGTTAGTCCAAGTGGGTACTTTGCTGAGGAGGATAAACATGTTGGAAGAGGTTCTCTCTGTGGTTTGTCACTTGTTCAGCCATCTGCCACTGTAGCCTATAGTGCTGGAAAAGAGGATTCTCTTTTGGAAGGAAGAAAGCTTTAAATATAAATTAAATTAAAAACAATATCAGCACAAACAGAGATAACATTTTGTTAAACTAAATGGTTAACACTACATTACATGTATGTAATATTTTATATATATATACTATGACAACCCACCAAACTGTACATAGGCTACCATTTTTTACATTTTGTGTGGAAAAAGTTTAGGCAACTTTGGTTTTAGATGTTGTTGTAGTCACATTAATAGCTGCAAATTAAAGGAATAGTTTGACTTTTAGGGAAATATGCTGGTCCGCTTTCCAGTCAAGCTTTCCAACTAAGCTAATTGACTCATTGCATCATAGTTAATACACAGACATCAGAGTGTAATTGATCTTAACATTTAACTTCTGATAAGAAAGCAAATTATATAAAGTGTGTTTTACACAATGTCAAGATTAGACTATTAACCATTACTCACAAAAGACATCACTTGGTGTGATTAGGAAATTGAGCAAATGGCTGGCTGAATTTGAAGGCAGATGTCCACAATCCACCATCCCAAACACACCTTCTTGATTCCTGCTGCACAACTGTATTTCAACACTACTCTCAGGTGTTGTGTAATAATTTATCGCCAGACTTCTGCATCCCTAAAGCTCATTTGTTTTGTTAAGGATGATTGTTGATGAATATATTATTGCTGATTTTGTAAATGCCCATGGAAGTGTACAATTGAGAAACTACACTCCTCAAAAAAACTTTTACAATTTTACTGTACATTGTATAATTTGTTGAGAACAAAATGACTTAACAATGGTCAGTAGAAACCAAAATCACAAACCAATTGGATTCTAAATCACACCAAAAATCAAAGTACAAAACTTTCATGACGCAACTCATGTTGTATGGCCCCCATGTGCCTTTGTGCACTCCTGACAACATCTGGGCATCCTCCTGATGAGACTGGGGATGGTGTCCTGGGGGACCTTCTCCACATTCAGGTCTGGCAAACATTGGTGCCAGTCAGTGGCATAAACGCCTTCATCATCCAGGAACTACCTACACACTCTGGCCACATGAGGCCTGGCATTGTCCTGCACCAGGAGGAACTCTGGGCTCACTGCACCAGCATAAGCTCTGACAATGGCTCTGAGGATTTCATCCCAGGTCTGTGAGACCCTCAAAAAATATGCCTCCCCAGACCATCACTGACCCACTGTCATCATGCTAGACAATGTTGCAGTCAGCATAACGCTCACTACAGCGTCTCCAGACTCTTTCACTTTCATCACAAGTCTGAACCTGCCATCATCTGTTAAGAGAACAGGGTGCCAATGTTCAGACCTGCCAATTCTAGTGTTCTCTGGCAAATGCCAATCGAGCTGCACAGTGCTGGGCTGTGAACACAGATCCCACTAGAAGATGTCAAACCCTCATGCCACCCTCATGGAGTCTGTTTCGGACAGTTTGGTCAGGAACATGCATACCAGTAGCCTGCTGGAGGTCATTTTGCTCTTCCTCTTCCTCCTCCTCCTTGTTGTTACCTCTCCAGTGCACCTGCTATCACTTGTATTTGTACCAAAAAAAGTGACATTGATTGGACAGAGTGATATCCCTGAGGTTTAATTGACATTAGGCCTGTCACAACAATTGATGATTTTCACCACACGATTGTCATGGCCAAAAGAATTCACGATAACGATATTATCAAGCTGACTTGAATCCCTGGCTCTCACTCACTACTTTAACGCTGACTAAATAAGCAGGAGAGAGAAAATACTGTCAAGTCATGATAACTTAGCTTTAACAACTTAACAACACCACTTAACAAGACCTTACTGTAAGCTAAATGTCAGGGCTAGCACACTAACTGCAACTTTCTCTACCGTAGCGAAATCTGCCCTTTTGTAGTTACTGTTGATGACTCTTCATGCAGACTAGTCTTTTTTATGGAATCAGAAAAACTCCCACACTGGCGAGCTAACTTTTTTCGGGTGCAGGTTGAGTGTCTCACTGTCGTCTGCCATGTCCTCCAGGTCCGACATGATGGAATTTGTGGGTCAGTAGCTGCCACTATGTGGTAATAGTTTGCCAGCTATTTACTGTTTCTTCTTCTTTTTTCCACTTTATGGCGAGTGGCAACCAGCATTAAGGTGCATTAGCGCCACCTACTATGTTGAATGGAAAGAAACATAAATGATTTAAGAGGTGCTAGATTATTAACACAATACCAATATTTTATTTTGTAAATAACACGGTATTCGTCAATACCATTGTATTACGACACCCATAAATGACAAGATTTTATACAGTGATGATTAAGTGTTCCCTTATTTTGTTTTAGCAGTGTAGTAACAGTAATTAGCATCTATTGTGCAAATAAGAAGAAAGTCAATCTTTACCCAAGTTGGATTTTTTTTATGCACATAATGCTTTCCCTAGGCAAGATGGCCTTCTTGATATTTCATATTTGACTGATGTTGTTTGATGATTAGCATCACCTGTTTCTTTTCCTACACTTGCAATATTGGTGTTGACGTTTTTTTTGTTTTTTTTTTTGCTTTCTGAAGACATTTTGCTTACCTGCATCTTGACAGCTGAGATGTCATGAGAGCCCTCTTGTTCCTTCGTCGTTCCCAAATGAATCAGAGTCACAGACCTTTTTCACAGCAGCATTTTGACCTGTCGAAGCATGAAAAGTAGAGGTGGAACTAATAACAGAAATTATGTCTCCTTTCCAGCAATTATTGCAATAGAAGGCACCGATTAATAATGACATTAGTTACACCTGTGTTAGACAACTCAAAATGTCTGCTATGAAAAAGGTTTTTTCACCTTTGCTTCATGTGTGTCACACTGCAATGGCTTTTCGGGCCCGTGTCCAGTTTGGGAACCACTGTGTCTGAACAGATTTCTAACGCAAATAACTGACCAAATTATGTGCTTGACTTTTCATTCACCTCCTTGATTGAGGCCTGGCTTTAAGATATTAGCTAGCACCCAATCTGTGTTTTGTCTCCCACCACTGCTTGTTTGTTTAGTTAATGGCTATTATTCATATAGTAATTTACAATAGTTATGTTTTCTTAACTTTCAAATCCTACACATATTGTAACCCCTTTAAGGCAAAAGAACAGATTGTTACAAACAGCCACCAAACTGCTGTTTCTTTCCTGCCTCGTGTCCCTAAAGCTATAGACCAGCTCAGCCTGCCAGTAGAGGCTCCTTATGTTTTGCTGCTGATAAATTTGCCCTTCACATACAGTGGCAATTAATGAAGCAAACATTCAGGCTGCAGATTATGATGAGCCTAATCAGCAGCTCGCTGTATTTAAACTCACCTTCCTTTTTTAAGTTGTAGTTTTTGTTTCAGGGCTTTCCCGCAGGGCAAACAAGTATTGCACAAATCTCCAGTTTTCAGTTACAGATTTAGAGATGCTTACTATGTAGCTGAAAATAGTTTTTTTTCCTGCAGAGAACTGGTCAAAGAAGTTAGAGTGCTGGAGTATAAATGAGTAATTAGTACTTGTGCATCTGTCTCATCTGTGCAGAAGGCATGCTTTTCAAATGTTTTCTAAATGTTTCCTCCACTCTTACAACCTATCTCTCTCTCACACATACATCTGTTTTGAATTGCCAATATATTTTTATCATAAAATTCTTTAAGTACTTAATATGATATGCGTCATGGCTTGTGCTTTGCATGCAGCAGGTATTTTATATGGCAGAATAGCTGTGTGGTACAATAACAACTGAAGTTATGCAGACAGTCACACACACACACGTAATTCTTCCTGTCCTACCCTCTGCTCTGCCCAGGGTTTTTTTTCTTGCCGTCTCTTGATTTCTCTACCGCTCTGTTCTTTTTCACCCCATTTGTTTCTCACAAACCTCCCCATCGTTGTTCAGTTATTCTTCTCTTCCCCATACATCGTTATTTTCTTTGATCTGTCTCCATTTGTTTCTGTACCTTCCCACTCTGCATACTGACACGGCTGAAGGGATCTCTCTCTCGCTCTGTATCTCTGTCATTGCTCTTTCTTTCCCCCTCTCTATCTGTCTTTCTTCTTATTTGTCTCCCTCTGTCTCCATCTCTCCCTCCCTCCCTCCCTCCCTCACTATCTCTCCACGCACACTTGATTCATTTTACACATTACGGAAGCATCCATCATTTTGCTGTGAGAAGGAGAAATCTCTCCTTTTTTTAATCCGTTTTTTTTTTTATCCGTGACACTATTTTCCACTTCTCTTTTTTCTGGCTGTCTTTTCTTTCCCAAACCCTACACTCTTCTGTGGATCCAACCCTAAAGCTGGAACCAATATGTTTTATTTCCAGCTGGTCATCATGGCAGGGACGGTTCTGTTGGCGTACTACTTTGAGTACACGGACACGTTCCCCGTGCACATCCAGGGCTTCTTCTGTTTTGACAAAGCCTACTCCAAGCCGTACCCAGGACCAGAGGACAACAGCAAGGCGCCGCCAGTCCTCGTCTACTCCCTCGTCACTGCCATCCCCACTGTGACGGTGAGTCTGTGTTGTGAAAAAAAACAACAACGTACTTCTACAGGTGCTCATCATGCGCACGCACATCTTAAAGGATCAGACATGACAATCATCATATACACATGTAACATACGAGACGCACACACACACGCACATACAGATAGTTCCTCCTCATCTACACGTGGTATTTTCGGATTGAAAGAGGAGAGGTGTGTAGGTGTGTATCCTCGTGGTCTTGCTGCTCTGCTTGTGTGGATGCATTCTCTGTCATAACCATGGCAACGTGCACTATATTTGTCCTCCATAGAGCAGTCAGAGATAGCTACAGTGTACAGAGAGTCTGTCCTTATTTCAAGACTGCACGCTACTAAAACAGAATAAAACATCAGCTCTAAATGGCTTCCCATATTTGTGCACAAGAGGAGGCACAGATTCGTTATTTTCACCAGACCTTCTTCATCCAACACTTAAAAATGCACATTGAAGCACCTTTAATAATTAAACATCCTTACAGGATTACAATTTGTAGGTCATGAATTCTTGGCAGTGTGCACATTCATGCAGTGAATCAAAAACAAACTGCTTTATTTTTGCCATTCATTGTAGTAACTCATGGCACTGGCACTAAATCCATTTAAAATGAATATTGTAAGCCACAGTTATTGTTGTTATTAGTCTAGAATATACTGAAATCCATTATAGCGGCCATACTTTCTTGTCAGTACAGTGGGATATTATTAATAATGAAACGTAGCTTCACATCTTCATCAAAGCTCTGTCTCCATGACCGTCTGTCTTGTCCTCTGGGCCTTGTCTCTTTGATGTCCTACAGTTAAGTGGCATTATGACATGGCTGCCTCTGAGCTACATATTAAGGCAGCACACACACACACACACACACACACACACACACACACACACACACACACACAAAGTACATACATACATAAACACAAGCAGAGGTAAATAATCACACTCATAGATGTGTTTGAGGGTATTATTCTGAGGCTTGTCTATTAATTTAGCAAATAGCTAACTGTGTGTGTTTGTTTGGAGCCTAATGTGCACTGGAATGGATGGAAGCTGCAGACACCAGAGTATGTGAGCCGTGCAGAGTGGGAGCGGAGTGGCGTGATTTTGCCTGGAGTGTGAAGCGGCTTTTTTGAAAGTCAGAGCATCTGTGTTCTCTCTCGCTCTAAGATACCGCTCCATCCCACGAGTCTCTGTTCAGATACAAGGGAAAAAAGAAGATATTCATCTCACTTTTTTTCAAAATTTTGACTCAGACTTTTAGCCACAAACGGAAAATGAACAAGTTCCTCCACTGACAGTACAGACGCTTGCTGTAACAACATATACCGACTCTGTGTGTATGGATTGTGTCTGTGTGTGACAGCTCCAACTGACTGTTAAACTTAACCAGAAACTCCACAGGTTTTCTCTTACTTTTACTCCAGACCCTCTCTCTTTTTGCTGCTGTCACTTTGTATAATGATGGGGAGCCATACAACTCAAGTTCAAGTCAACTCAACAAGTTTCTTGCTCAAGTTTAACATTTAACAGTACAGTACTCCAGATATTTAGTGTTGGTACTTCCATATAATGGGGAACAGGTTATTAAAACAATCATGTTACCTCATGTTGCTGCCCCTGCTTATAAGTTTACCACATATACAGTAGAGCGCACTGTAGAGTTAGAGCTTTAATTCCAAGCCATTGAAGTCTGCTCAAATGAGGGTCGTTGACCACAAAGTGACAAGTTAACTTCTTAACGTACCGCCCGCGGGCTGTAAGGCTGTGGTGGCAGCCTTTGGTATGTGCACACAACTGCTATGTTTAAGTTCATACTCACATTACCTTTACTCATTTAGCAGACGCTTTTATCCAAAATGACTTACATTTGAGGAACAACATACAATCATCAACAGAGTATCAAATACAGCACGAGATTTATAGGATTTTTACATATTAATAAAAGCAGCAATAAATACTAGTAAGCACTAATGGCACATATCGCATTAATGTGGTAAATACCTAGGGAAAGAAGAGTTAACTAAGTGAAATCAATACATGATAATTGTAGGGGATAGAAGAAGAGGACAGGAAGTGCATGTTAGATGTTAGGAGTTAGAGGTGTTATAAGAGGAAGTGATCTCGGAAGAGATGAGTTTTCAAGAGCTTCTTGAAGTTAGAGAGGGACGCTTCTGCTCTGATGGCGTGTGGTAGCTCGTTACACCATTGTGGTGTCACAGATGCAAACAGCCGGGACTGGGATTGCTTTGTGTGAAGGGATGGCAGAGCCAGGTGGCGTTTGTTGGAGGAGCATAGTGGCCGAGAAGGAACGTAAACTTGTATTATAGAGTTAAGGTAGATGGGTGCAGACCCAGTAGTCACTCTGTATGCAAGCATTAGTGACTTGAATCTGATTCCCGAGGCCATGGGTAGCCAGTGGAGGTCACACAGCAATGGAGTGACATGAGTCCTTTTGGGCTGATCAAAAACCAGACGCACTGCTGCGTTCTGAACCATTTGTAAGGGTTTCACCACACAAGCTGTAAGACCCGCTAGGAGGACATTGCAATAGTCGAGGCGAGAGACAACCATGGCCCATACCAGACTGATATGGATCTAGGAGGTCATTCCGTGAGAGGAATTGTGAGACCTGTTTGAAGCCTGTTCGATAGTTTTGGATAAAAATGGTAGAAGAGAAACACATGATACACCGTTGGAAACCTAAAATCCTTGGTGGAAATGCAATGCAAACCATTTCAATATACAATCACAGCAGCAGGTACAATCAGTGCCTCTGTCAGACCACCGAATGCAATCAAAATTGACGTGATTTATTTAAGAAGCCTCATAGTAACCCACCGATCGATTATATTCCGACAAGAATGGTTTTGTTACATTGTCAAAGGTCCAGACAATTCAATACAGTAAAAGCAAAACAACCAAGCGGCGGTGCTTACCCTTAGAAAAACCTGTGTAAAATATTCATTTTCTGTGGCATTGCTATAAAATAAGCTAATAAGTCAATGCAAAAACAATGCAGGATATAAAATACTTATTAAAAAATTGGTGTTTTATGAGGAAGGAAAATTATTCTACACATTTGTTAAAGGATACACTCAGCGTATGTTGGTGAGCAACAATGACTATAAACACAACTGTTTGTTTACAAGAAAACTCCACAGGGCAACTTTAAGTATCATTTGGGATTCAGTATTTTATTTTTATTTTTATGCATTTATTGTGTGAGTGTTGTTCTCGACCTTGGGAACACATACAGTATCTACGTTATATTTTCTACATTATATTTTTATGACCACCTGTTAACACATGACTGAAGTCCGGTACTGAGATAATTAGAATTACACCTGGGCAAGTTTTTTTTTTTCTGAAGATGGCCACAGGATACAGTCTAAAACTCCATGAATAGCAAAGTAAGTGGGCGTTTAGAATATTTAAAACAAACATTTTTTGTAGTTTCATGCTTTGGCACATCAAGTCCTTCATACATGGAGAGTGGAACAGCTACCCCAGTATGACCCCACCCCTTTGAACTCATGCTACGCTACTTCCATCCGGAGGCATATACGAATCTGTGATCTGTAAAACAACAGCTTCATGCCCTCTGCCATCACTGCCTTTAACAAACTAGTAAATAACACTCAAGTTGACCTATGTGCTTGTGACTGTACTCTGTTCCCTTTGTCTATGTTGTGTCATTGTTGTTTGTGTTAGTTCACTATTCCTGAATTGTTCTTATGTGTGGACAAACTGTGGAAACAAATTTTCCTCTAATGGAGGACAATACATTTTATTTAGGTTTTCATATAACGGTGCTCTTTAAAAGCTGCTGTGCAGGTTAAAACCAAATCCATCGTGTTTCTTGAGCCTGATCAAAGGTCTGACTTGAAAGTGACTGCTGAAAAGCAGCAGTGGTCTCTCAGGGCTGTCATATCAAACTGAACCTGTAAGATTTGAACAACACACACACCAGACCACATTTGAATACTGATGTGGTTACTCTACTAGAATTAGAAAAGAATACTGTGTGTGTGAGGCAGAGAGAGAGGAAGTGAGGATGAGTGAAATAGAGGCACTTTTGTGGTACTTTGCAAATATGCTGTGAGTTTCAGTGCATCAGTGAAGGTAAGTGTGTGGGTGGATGACGGCGCACATATTCTCTCTGCCACTGAAAATGTTTTTTGCATGTGCAGGTAGGAGTTATACAGTGTGTGCGTGTTATCTGACTAGTACTGGGATCTGAGAACTAGTAAGAGTGGCTATAGGCGATGTCTATGTCTCTCCACAACTGCATCTAATTTTACTAAATTCACACACATACATACACATGCAAATGCATACAGTGCATAGCCTAAAAACAATACAGTAACAGCACAGGTGACATTTCAGCACTCATGCCTATTATCCCGCCAAGCTAGCTGAAAGAGTGGGGTAAACTGCTGTTTGAACCATTGACTGATTATTTGTGTGTGTGTATGTGAGGATGTCTTTTGTGTAAGGGAGACCGTATGTTGATTGCACAATACAACCCACCCATCAGTTGATACAGTTAAGCTGTGACCAATCATAGGATCAAATAGTAATTGAATGCTTAAGATGCTTGGTGCACAGTGTGAGCCTTCACAGCACGTGGAGAGACTATAACACACGCTTGTAAGCTCAGGCAAAAGGCCATGAATGAATTAAGCTTTGAATGTAGAAGTTTTTCTCCACCTTTTTTTATGTGGGTCAGAAGCATAATGCTAAATACTTTTGCCCTGGAGAGCTCCTCTCTAATGCTGCTAAATATAAGCCTCTCAAACAGGACGGGAAGGCAAAGTGAGGGCGCTCTTTGAGAGGAGAGACAGCGAGAGTTCAATATGCCGTAAACACTACACAATGGGAGGAGGAAGAGAGAGAGTGAGGAATACAAGAAACAAAGAAAGAAAACAAAAAAAGAAAACAAAAGAAAGCAAAATTAAAAAAGAAGACATGGAGACACTAAATGATGA